TTTTTCTTATGACGCTAATGTATGTATTATTATTCCGATTTTGGTAAAGTCGGTCATTTTTGCTAGGTGAGTGTACATTTAATTATAGGAAATTATAGTACAAATAAAAAGAGAAATAAATTGAAAATAAAACTTTATTTCAAAGTTTTTTCTTTTTATGGTAGCTTTTCTTGCATTCTGAGTGGTTGTATTTGTAGTTTGTACCGATTTAATCTAAGATTTACTTCAAGTAATTAGAGTATTTACTTCTGAATTATTAACTTTTTTACATTTAAACTTTGGTTTATAATCATCACTAGAATCATGATTTGACTGGTCTGAGTTTGAACTATCCAAATCTTCTTGATTATTCCCATGATCAGGCTTCAGTGGTAAAGAATAACATTTGTTTCTATACTAGAAATATCTTTGAAGTAACGTACACATTCTAAAAATGAGGCTTGACTTTCTATGTGTTGTTGATTGATAGGAACTATAGGGGATATATAGATGATATTTGCATTCTCTTGATCACATTTTAAAAACCATTTCTAACGTATGACGTGATAATGCTATATCGTAAATTATTCACCGCCATATACCCAAAAGCTTGTTGAACGATTTTTATAATTTTCTCATATTTAGTATAATCTTCTGTGCCATAATCTACTATGTCAACCACACCATTATAAAGATCAAACAACTCCTCTCTTTCATCGGTAATTTTGACTCTTCCTTTATTTATCTCAGTCTTTTTATTAAATTTGTCATAAGTTGTTCCGGTTTTATTTCAGCTACGGTGAGTAACTTTGTGTCAATTATAGAGTGTAGTAACTCATTATTATTAGCACTGAAAAGTATAACATCTGGTTCACAAGAGTATTACTAAATTGAGCTCAGGTATCCCACTTTGCTGGCTTTGATAGACCTTTTAATCTTTGGTTGTTTATTTGTTCCATTATTCGTAAAAATAGTTTAATTGTTGTACTTTCAATGGATGCAATCGGTCGAATGATTTTGGGTATGTTGAACTTTCTACTTGCACTAATTAACAATGAAGCTGAAAATGCGTCAGCAAGAAAAGTATCCCATGATTTCACTGGATTTTCAGGTACCCTTGATGTAGCTGAAGTAGTTGTGCTATTAGTTGTAATACTAAGCAATCTGGGAGTAAGAAGAACTACTCGAAATAGTTCTAGTTCGGTAAGCCGATCTAGTAGCAAATGAGTAAAAATCAGTATTATTAATATATTGACACACAGAAACAATGACTATCGAAAAGTTAAGCCATATCGCGTTCATTTGAACTCACCTTTGGTTTGATTTACTGCGTTTTTTTGGCATTTATCAACAGGAGGTGTCACATTCTCCTTATTTTTACTCTTGGGCTTCTGTAACATATAAAGGAAGATTGTGAGTGATTATTAACATAAGAAAGATACATAGCCGATTCCTCCCTCCATAATCAGCAGATCTTAATCAAATAATCTAATAGTACGATGTGCACGCCGTAGAGGAAGTGAGATAAGGCATTCACGACGGCTCAACGCTCTTCTTCTCCAAGCTCGATGGGTCAGGTTGTAGCACACTATTCTCGTTAACACTTCCACATTTTTGAGAACGTGTAAAAGCACTAACCTCTAGTTTACGTTTCAGAGCAAAGACCTTCTTACTTTCTCTTGTTCCTGGTTCCAGGTTTTTTATCAAAATGTCAAGCTCACTACCAAAATCATTTGTATAACTTCCTCTTCGATGTTACCTCAGGATATGCTTCGGAATAGAAGAGTTCCCAAGTATTTATTCCCCACTGCGTGTACGGCCTTTCCCAGTAGCTGGAAGGTTGAAGTTTATTTAAAATTTCTTTTGACGACATTGAGGTAGCGAAAAAAAAATAATAAAAAGTAAGTTATAAAGTCATAAAAAAATTGCTTATATATCTTGACGCGAAAAAAAAATTAAACTATAAACTCAAGCACGTGATTACATATCATGCGTAGAACGTGGTCTTACCAATATAAGTAAGATTTTGGCAGGGATCCCCGGCTAAAATTAAAGTCATGTGATTTTTCTTATTACTATTTTACTTTTTATTTTTCCTAGGAGTTTGTGTTGTTGTCGAACCCCTGTATTATTTTCCCTAAAAACTTGAGCCATCATTTTGAGGATCTCCCGGATTGCCCTGTTGGGTATATTGATAATGTGCCGAAGGATCTTGACTATATAAAGAAGGATCATAATGACTTTGATCGTATGTTTGACTAGGATCGTATGATTGAACGCTTGATTCTGGGTCACATTTTTGGTTTTGTATTGTAGTTTTGATAATGATAGAGATTGTACTGTCGTTGACTAGGATCATAATATTGCCGTTGTTATGAATAATAAAGATCTTATAACCATATCCTTATAATCATGTTGATTTTGAATAGTATTTACTTGAGGAGAAGTTATATTCTCCGTAGTCATGATAATGATTATAATCAAAAATCACCATACTGTTGAGTGTCCGTTGAGTTAGTTACTAGGAAAAGTAAATTCTGCTACCACGAAGATGGAATATCCTGGAGTCAGGACTCAGTTTACTCAATCCATACACCCTATTCACCACAACCATAAAGAGAAACATAAAACATACCTTACTAATGCGAGTAACACGTAAGTTTATCCATCGTAATTCCTTAACTTGTGTTTCGAATCGAGAAAATTTTCTACTGACGAAAGGGTGTTATAGATGAAAATGATAATAAGTTATGTATACAATTATTATTATTATAAGACGCGAAAACGCAATTTGAAAGACGAAATTTCGAATTGATATAACCCGGTTATTTTTTTTTAAAAAAATTGCTTGGTATGAATATCCTACCAAGAGCACCCAGAAAAATCTTCAATCACGTGATTTTTACCAGCCTAACAATAGCCGTAAAAAATGGGCATCCTTAACCTAGGGAGGAGTGTAGACCTTTATCCTAAACCGCAACTGTGTGTGTCACGTGATATATACTTTAAAAAATATTTATTTATACATGGGTTGGACGATAAGAGTCTACATCCCCTCCCTAGGTTAAGGACGCCCGTAAAAAATGGTAGCCGGATTTTATTTTCTGGGTCATTTTTTACTGGCGACGTATGTAAGTTCTGACCTAACCCTAAATCTATGATTTTGTGTGACAAATCTGGTTTTCACTACTGTAAAAATTCGTCCTCAGATCAGTGTGTAAAATTCACGTGCACAATGTGCACATGAGCACATCGAAAATTTTTTGTGCACAAATGACATCACGAAAATGTGCACATTTTGCACAT